ACAGGGGGCAGACTTAGCAAGCGATCTGCATAGCTAGGGAACACGGCAGCCTTGTGATTTCGGAGCGGAGACGCCAAAACATAAAATTTAGAGAAAGAGTAACAACTGAAGTAACCACTTTTATTCTTCATCTGCCTTCATAAGGGTGCGGTCGTGTAGTAGAGGAAACTAACTGATGACAATCATTGCATCAAAACCATAAGCGCTAGTTAAAAGCAAGCAATGCGGTTACACTTTTTCACGAATCTAATCACATCACCAATACTACTTAAATTACAAGTCTCCCGATCCACGAGTATTAGGGGAAAAGTCTACGAGAAACTAATTGATCCTGTGATTCAATGCCTTTTAATACATACATTTCTACCAATTTCACTTTTAATGGATTCTAACCTCTAACTCTAAATTTACGCTCATGCTCATGTTTCGAGAGCGATTATCAGATTATCTCACAACTCGCACAATCTCACAGACCCAGACCATCGACAGTGGTAGAAAGTGAGAAACACCTATAAAGAAATCTCATGCTTACTTTTTGGTTTGGCAACATCGTAAAATTCGAGACAGCCTTACATCTCAAAACATCGACCGATCGATTTGGGCACATTGCCAAAGTTTCGATCTCTCGCTCGACTATGTTGGATTTTTGGAGGTAATGCCGTTGTAGGTAATGTCCTGCCCCCCTATTGAGGCTATTGTCTTGAGTTGAAGTTTTGAATTCTTTATTTTCAATTTTCTTTCATACCATGGCAAGCATATCATACGGTATGGTTGTCAATCTCGACTGGCATCTTACTGCTGAGGGAGAGACTATTCTACAATATTTTTACAATCCTCAAACAAACGGCAGGAAGTTATTTGGTAAGTGCGTAAAACCTTGTATCTTGTGTTCATACCTCTCAAAATTTGGTGAACCCTCAGGATAAGCTACGATGAACATGGGTAGTACTTGCTTAATTGCATAAGCCCTGTATAGACGATCAGATTCCGAACCAATTCCGATCAAAGTAGACATGCTGATGACTGGTGGTCACCATCTACCATTAAATTTTGACGGGCCGCATTTTTTTGTTCGAAGTAAGACCAGAACGGAGTGCCACCATTCATCATTTCCTGCCACAGAAAACATTTCTGCCAAGTTTTCATTTTATAATGAAGCAAATTAATGAGTTTAAGACTGATGACTCCCGACACTTTGATGCTAGTTTGATCGGAATTGGTTCGGGAATTTGATCGTCTATCCAGGGCCATATCTACAACTGGCGAAAGAACAGATAAGACGAACGGCACATAAACCTGAATGCATCAAATATCAGATGGCCCTTCGGTGAGCATTTAACTTTCTGTTGAATGGTGCATTTTTTGGATGTAACTTTTGTATTTCCTTTTCTTTCCCCAGTTGTGAATGGATTTTTGATAATATTCCATGGAGTACCATAGAGTCGCAATGTACTGGAGTGTGAATCAAGTTACTTCCTTAGACTGTTAAATCCAGTAATCCTGTGATTCAAGCGTGGCAACAAGCAGTGCTACATGTGCAGGGTCCAGGGCGGACTGGCCCGGGTGGGAGTTTCGGTATCCCCATTTAAAAATTCTGTAGAGAGCTCTCTGAGGCCTTCAGGAAAGCTTATAAAGAATCACTTCAAGGAAAAGAAAATTTGGAAGAATTCAAAGTGAGCTGTATTTGCGCCTTTAAGGTAACCTTGGGGCCCAAGTCTTGGACTGCAAGGAGCCTCAAAATCTGGAAAAGTACCCTAGTCCCCGACTTTTTGATAAAAAGGCTCCAATGAAAAGCGCAGATCCCCGCACTTGGCTGGAGTGTAGTGATGGTTCGGGCTATCTGAAATGGGCCAAGAGGACCCTTGCCTCCAGGAGACCCTATTAACAGGTATGAAGGGCTGTTTGTAACTAAAGATACGACTGTTGGCAATATATAAGAAATGATGTAATATATGAAATATTTAAGTTATATAGGAAAGTTTGAAATATATATACGCAACTGTCGCAATATATGGATTGCATTTTGCGAAAAGAAACCAGGAGCATTGCAATGTTGCTAAGATTGTACAACTTCTTTTGTCTTGGAAGAAAAACCTGATTATCTATCATCAGTTTCTATTTTACTCGCTAAAAACTGTAAATTTAAGTCACAAATTTCCACGTTTATTTCATATTTTTACATGATTTCAATCGTTAAATTGCAATGGACCAAGTTGCATGATCTTAGCAACATTGCAATGCCCCTGGTTCCTTTTTTCAAAATGCAATCCATATAAGAGCATGTGTCAATATCCAGGAAATCGGCTGCAAAATATAGGGCGAAAATCATGCAACGGATAAGAAATGTGACAATATATAGGAAATAGGCTTCACAATATATATGGCGAAATTCGTGCGACATACAGGGTGATCCATAAGTCCTTTTCATCCCCTGGAAATTTTTACCTTATTGAGGCAAAGATTTGAAACTTGGGGGATGTTCCTAGGTCAAAAGGAGCTACTTTCTGGCCCCCTAGAATTTTCCGGGGAAGCCCCTAGGGGGAGGGGGGACGGAAACCAATTATTTTTCAGTTGAGAAGACCCCGTTTGTTATACCTCGTTCCGAAGAACATAGACAAAAGAATCTTTTCGGGTGAACCAGAAGTCAATATCTCAAACCGTTTCAAAATGGCGTTTGGTTATAATTCAAGAAGGCCGAAAATTGACACCGGTTGTTTGTCAATGGATTTGCGCGAAAATCGGTACCTATCCACGGGTATTTCGATGGGAGAAAAACGAATTTGAAGTTAGATCTCCTAAAAAACAACAAATTTCCACTATGGCCAATAATTCAGAAACTTGAGAATTTGGGGTATATTGGCATGAGATTAACAAATGTAAAGTTAGATTTTCTTTAAAAAAAAGCAATAAATTTCCGAAATGGCCGATTTTTTTTTTTTTTTTTTTTTTTTTAGAAATCTAACTTTAAATTTGTTTATCTCATGACAAAAGATCCCAAATTCCCAAGTTTCTAAATTTTTGGCCATTTTCGAAATTTGTTGTGTTTTAGGAAATCTAACTTCAAATTCGTTTTTCTCCTATGAAAATGCCCGTGGATACCGATTTGTGCGCAAATCCATTGACAAACAACCGGTGTCAATTTTCGGCCATCTTGAACTTTAACCAAACGCCATTTCGAAACGGTTTGAGGTATTGACTTTTGGTTTACCCGAAAAGTTTCTCTTATTTATGCTCTTCCAAATGAGGTATAACAAATGGGGTCTTCTCAATTGAAAAAATAATTGGTTTCCGTCCCCCCTTTCCTTAGGTAGAGTGTCCCTTATTTTTTTAATTTGCGAATTTCAAGTTGGTCAACCTCTCCAAAGTTTCTATGTGATGTAAAAACACACCTGCTTTTTTGAAAAAATATTTAAAAAAATTTTTACTCGCCGCCCAAAGGGGCGCTTACCTTGAGTTACACACTTGGTAAACACCTCTGGATGATTTCTCATGGTATGACCCAGACTTGAGTTTTAAGTCTGTGGGTACCAATATTCCGCGAGATCTGTTGGTACATTTTAGAGGGAGCTTACAAAATTTGCCCATGTAGTTTTACCCATTTGTTCATGCACACTTTACAAATTAGATCAGGTATGATTTGTTAAAATGAGACAGGTAACTGATCAAAATAAAAGAAAGATCGAAAGTGTGGTGCACCTCTTAGCACTCATTCTGTGTGGTCCCCTGTTCTCAGGTCTACTAGAACGTCCAGCTGTTCCCTCTAACATAGAGGAAGTCTGCTATAAATTATTCTTTGTTGGCAAGTCAGGTGCCGGAAAATCGGCAGCTATTGCACGTCTGGCAGGAACAACATTTATGGCAACACATGTGGAGTCTTATGGTATCAGGAAGACCAATATATTTTGGCCAGTTAAAATTTGGAACAAAATAATCCTGTTCGAGTTACATTGTTGGGAGTCAAGTGACTCGAGCCTAAAGAAATGTGGTCATATTCTTCCAGTAAGTGTACTTTTCAATTTAGTATGCTCCACTCACTTTGAAAAACCCTCTTTTTTGCTGGATCATCATTTTTTTAAGGTCTTTTTGAACAGGATTGCTAAATTTGCTCGATCACATGCCCAGGTGCGTACATAAACATTAGGAGAGAATCTGAAAATGTGGAAAGAGACAGTTAATGGAACAATATTTTTGCAGATTTTAGTCTTGCAGAGGGAGGTCATGTAGTATCCTGTATAGAATTGGACAAACATTCTGTCAATGTCAAGAGAAGCGAGGCTACAAATTGGATTTTTTGGCCTCCGTACACACATTTTTCATTATAGTTGTGAAACTGTTTCCATGTCTATGAGTATGTGAACAGTACGCCAAATACTGTCATCATCCGAAAAAATTGGAGTCCTTTCGTCTCTCTTATCTCCCTGGCCTGCAAGGAAACAAAACCTCTTCTAGATCGCCTTTTAGATGTTGCACCATTTCAGCCGGTTATTACATGTTTAAGCGGCAAAATACTGAATTTGCAGCCTGCTTTTTTCCAAATCAGCATATGAAAAATTGGATTTTCATAGCGCACTTTGCTTAAGGAACATCATATCAATCAATATTGAAATGTAGCTTGGTGTTCTGTGCACAGTCCTTTCTAAGTCCTTTTTCTTCCTGCGCAAATTTATTTTAGCTAAAAATCTTTTTTTTCTAGGCATGTAAAGACAAAGCAGATGCCTTTGTGTATGTTTTTTCTCATTCCGATGCGAGCAGTTTCCTGGACATTCCACAGTTAATGAATAAACTAACAAAGGATGAACCAGACCATCCTGCAAATATTATTATAGGAACAAGGTATGCAAATCAGTGAAGAATTGAATTATCATTTTGAAGTAACTAAATGAGTAGAGTCGCATTGAGGGATGATCCTTTGCTGCAATTTAACATAGGGTAGGTGGGACTCACATTATGCACAATGGAAAGAGCGGCACCTCCTTGTTTTTGTCGCAAAAACGAGTTGTTGGTAGCATACTTTACTTGAGACTTTGACTGAATCATAACTAATTAGTAAAAAGCTTACTAGAAATATATTAGCGTTAAAAATAAAAGGCCATGATTAGGATAATGACATAGTATTAGATAAGAAAAATACAAATGTCCCCAACAGGGCTGGCGGCTACCCTAGGGCCAATTTCCCGCGGCTACTGAAGTTGCCAACATAAAATGTCAAATTGTTAAATGGTAAACACAGTTCAACATCTCGCCTCAGTTTTACAATGCATAAAAAGACAGAAATAACAACAATGAAGAAAAAAAAAATTGTGAGGCATCAACTTTAGGAAATATCTAATTTTTGCACTAAAACATGAACACCAATTAATTAATTGAATCAGATTATTCATTGAAAAAATCTAATATTTACACTGAATAATTCATCTAATCAGATTACTCATCATCTCTCCTCAATTTGATAATTAATTATGGAATAACGATGAGAGAAAAAGAGAGAACGGAATTTTTGTTTTTGTTTTTAAATTATGTAAGTCCAAAATCATTCACACAAAAACCGTGCTTAGCTTTCGGCACAGGCCTGGTCAATGTGTCTGCAACCATGAATTCAGTGGGAATACTTTGTAATTCAACGTCTTTCACAGCAATATGCTCGTGTAAGAAATGATTCGCACGGTTGTGTTGTATTGGGTTATGTGCAATGTCCTGTGTGCTCTTGTCGTCGCAGTAGAGTGATACAGGACCGTTTTTTCTTGCGAGTTCTTCCATTAATCGCTTTAGATGGATTGCCTCCTTGGTGGCATTCGCCATGGAGGTATACTCGGCCACAGCACTGGAAAAAGAAGTTGTCAGCTGTTAATTGCTCTCCCAAGAAATTGCTGCATCTGAGTACTTGAAATTCAATTCAGAGCATGATTTTCTTCGATTGTCGTTGTTCGCAAAATCGGAGTTGCAATATCCATTTTGATCTTCTTCGATTTTTTTAGTTCATCGATAGAGTCAGAACGATGATACGAGCAACCGCTCTCATGTTATGACCGAAAAACTTATTTTGGGGAAATTCCCCTCCCCCCCAAAAAAAACCCCCGCAGAACCGTCATGCTATCGATGGGGACTTTTTTTGGGGGACTCTGGGGGTCATAAGGACTCACTATGCCATAAATCAGCTTGTTATTAATTTTTTTTCTTATATTTTGTATGATTCCTGGACTACCTGTGCAATGATCAAAACAGTTGTGTTTTACTTGGAAAACAAGCTTCATCTGAGATCCAAACTTATCTCACCAGGAATGATTCCTTGAACATTTGGCACAAACGTCCAAGACATCTTAACATTGAATCAATGAAATTTTGAGAAATAATCAGGCATCCGGCGTTCATTTTCAAGGTGATAATAACGAGCAAGTCTTTCAATCTTGTATACTCGATGAACTAAAAAAAATCGAAGAAGATCTTAATGGATATTGCAACTCCGATTTTGCGAACAACGACAATCGAAGAAAATCATACTCTGAATTGAATTTCAAGTACTCAGATGCAGCGATTTTTTGGGAGAGCAATAAACAGCTGACAACTTCTTTTTCCAGTGCTGTGGCCGAGTATATCCCCATGGCGAATGCCACCATGGAGGCAATATATCTAAAGCAATTAATGGAAGAACTTGCAAGAAAAAACGGTCCTGTATCACTCTACTGCGACGACAAGAGCACAAAGGACATTGCACATAATCCAATACACCACAACCGTGTGAATCATATTGATGTTCCCAATCATTTCTTACACGAGCATATTGCTGTGAAAGACGTTGAATTACAAAGTATTCCCACTGAATTCATGGTTGCAGACACATTGACGAGACAGACATGAGAACGGTTGCTCGTATCACTTCTTAGAGCACCATTTTTTGAACTCTCGTAAAATTTTGGAGCGAAATGACGTATCAATTGTTCATAGCCCCTTGGTGCCCCCCAAAACTGCAAAAACATTTCAAGGCATATTTTTGACGATTATTCTGCAGGAAAAGTTCGCTCATGGCTGTTCAACGACAAACGCTGGTTCTTGTCACTCTTAACTGTTAATACGATTTACTGTCAGCTCATTGACTACCATTTTTGCGCCAAAGTACGAGAGGGGGAGGGGAGTGTAGCGAGGATAAGTGAGAACTCGTACGATCCTGATCGTCAGAAAGCAAGCTTTCTGGAAAGGATCGAGCCTTAGCAGATCAAACCACAAATTTAGGGTGCTAGACGCTCGTCAGGACGCCTGGGTTCGGGCGCCAACACACTTGAAGTGCATACTCAAAAATTAATAAAATGATTTTTCCGGAAGTGAGGACAGGATTGGCAGGAAGGAATAATGAGAGCAAATTTGAACATTCTAGAGTCAATCATATTGACGAGAAAAGAAAACAATTTCTTAAACACAATTACAAACCTAAGTTTTCAAAAGAAACTAAATATGAGATCAGAATAGGATGGTTGAAGACGAATGAGTTGATCGGATTGATTTTGTTGGATTTCTGCTTAGGAATACTTTGAAAGGAACGGTAAAAGAGACATTTTATGTTTTCGGACTTTCAAATGAATTTTCCTCTTGTTTATTTATTTAACCTTAAATCTTCCAGACAACCGGTGCTACTCACTAAGTGCACTCAATCTTGAATGGTGGATTTAAGGTTCAAAATAAATTTTCTTACATCAAAGTACTTTCTTAGGCCAGTTTCAGCAATTTCTACAGTAAATTTGGTAAAAACTATTAATTAACCAAGCTAAAATAATAAATAACCGACTATTCTTAAGAGTTTGAGCGACTGAGACGTCGTGCACAACCAGACTAGCCGGATACAGGTTCCAGATCGCTCCGCGAGAGCGCTCGAGTGACGCGCGGCCGACCGGTCCACTGCGGTGCTTCGCCACTCCGCCGTTCCTTTAGAATGCGCTACTGTTGCAAACTCTTGCTACGCTCAACGCTATAGCTGTAGCCATCGAAGTTATTACAAAATAAATTCATTATTAAATTTCGGCACGGTTTAAAATTAGAATTTTCCCCAGGTGATTAATTATCCTAAAATTAAAGTGACCGAAAATATTACCGTCACAGGGAGAACCCCCGAACATCGTAATAAAAAGTACTCATGAAGAGGTGGTGTTTAACCTTGTTTCTCAAAACTGATCATGCAGACTTGAAGCTCTGCTGTTTGAAAATTAATCAGATTTACAGTACAGGTTAAGTGGAAAAATAAATCGAGTGAGGGGAGGGGGGTAAGCACCTGAAAAGTGAAGGCTCTCCCACCCCCCATGAATGCCCTCCGCCGAATGTAATGGTAAGACTAGAAAAGTAGTGAGCACAGATTATGAATCAAGGAAATCATGGGGTGTAATCTTGGTATAAAATATTTCCTCCCTCCCTCATCCCGACTCTCTCCTCCGAATACCCCCCTCCTGTAAGTCATCATGATGTTCGTTTCTTCTTTGGAGTCGATTGGTCAGAAGATGGGCCCCTTAAGACTGGTGATTTCAGCTGGCTGTCGGACGTTTATGGACGTGTCACGTGTCCATGATATAGTTCTGCTACGTCAAGGAGATTATCATCGACATCACTGTCCTCATCATCATGTCTGGGATTCTGCAGTTTTCGCACGAGTTGCCCTTACAAGTGATGAACACTCAGAGCATTTAAGGCCTGTTTTGAGGCATCTGCAAGTACACCGCTTAACTCTAAAGTATTTTGAGGAGCTGAAATATTAGTTGAAATTTTACGATAATTCAAAAAATGGTGCTATATATAGTGATACGAGCAACCGTTCTCATGTTATGACCGAAAAACCGATTTTGGGAAACTTACCCCCCAAAAAACCCAGAGCTATCATGCTATCGATCGAGACTTTTTTTGAGGACTCAGGGGGTCATAAGGGCTCACCATGCCAAAAAATCAGCTTTTTATTAACTTTCTCTCCTAACTCTTGTATAATTCCTGAACTAAGGATGTATGCTTCTTCACTAAGCAGTTAAAGTACTGTCAAAAATTGTATCTTTTTTAGTTTCACGCATGCCAATTGTTGATGTGAAAAACCAGGGAATTTTAATCATTTTTGTCAGGAAAACTCTGGAGAAACCAGAAAATTTTTTTCCTCTAAGTTTGAAGACACCCTGGAATACATAATTACATAGCACTGGCCAATTGAGTTCAGCATGAAGTAAAGGACTGAAATTTTATACAATTTGTCTCCTCCATTCTAAACTTATTAGTTCCTGACTTCTTGGCGCAGGTACAGCGCAACTTCCAGCGCAACTTCCAAAATGGAAGTTTCTCTAGCAGACACCAAACAGTTTGAGACTAAATGGCAGATACCGGTTCTCAAAATGAACAAGCTTTCCCCAACGGATCGTAATGAAACCCACCAAATGGCCCCTCTACTGAATATAATTTGTGAGCAACTCTGGATTCGTGATCAAGAGTACATTCTTAAGCAGGGTCTCACATCCTAGATTTTTAAAAAATCATTAAATTTCTGCCTGTTGCATCTAGTCATCCACCATCACTGAGGTATGTAAACGAAATTTTCAAGTGCTCTTTCAGCCTATTTGAAAAACCCTTTCATCACTTCTCTGCGACTAGCACAACTGATTCATAATGGACAATCATGAAGCCAAGGAACGGTTAACATTTAATAAATCCTGCCCGATCAAAAAATCAGACTGAACGTGTTGGAAATTTCCTAAAACAATTCGTAAATCAGAAATGAATGTCTAAAGTGTACAAAAAAGTCAGTCAATACCTACAAACATAAGAAAAAAAGAAAAGGAAAGAAAAAAAAGGTCTATATGGGTCAAACTGACAATTAAAAAAACTAGCGCTTCACACACGTCTTTTCAATCGTCACTCCTATTTAAGTGACCTGCTTACCGTGACCCACTGAGCGATGAAAAGCTCTTCCAAAAACTTCCTCCCCTTGACTCGCTGTGTGACGAATGATCTACCCAAGATCTTCTTTCCCCTGACCCACTGAGCGACGAAAAGCTTGTCCAAAAACTTCCTCCCCCTGACCTACTATACGACCAGTACGTAACAGTTTGTCCAAAAACTTTCCCCCCAACTCACTGCTTGGCCCCGCTCTGGCTGGCTTCCCTCATGCCACGCATCCCCCACCTTAAACTTTCAAAGCCAGCCATTTTTAATCGGCCCAGCCGATTTTGCTCAAATTCAATACCAAACCATTCCCAGGGGAAACCTACCACCCATAAAAATTTCAGCTCAAAATATTCATTTTAACTCAAGTTATGGAGTGGACAAAATTTAACCTCCTCCCACTTTCGAGTCCCACCCCTCAAAATCTATTGCCTCAAATTTCAATTTCTTTTTGCAGAATAGTAGCTATAATGAGGCTCTACAAAATGCGTAAAAATTGGTTAAAATATATTGCAAAGTAAGAAAGATAACTGCTCAAAAATCGAAAAATCTTAAAAAGACAGAAATACATACATACATACATACCACACATACATACTTTCAAAGTTTTTTCATGAAATCCCTCTCTTTTTCAAACGAATTAATCTCCAAAGAGCGACGCCAAGAATGGCACAATTTGGGCCAGAAGGGATTTTTCTGAAACCGGGCCCAAACGATACCTTATGATACCCTAAAACTCTGGTTAAAATTTTAGCTTGAGTATACGCACGGTTTTTGATAAATGAGGGGGCAAAGTTGCCAAATCGCCATCATTCTGGACAGCATTTCTACAGCAAAAAAACGGGAAAAATGGTCGAAAAAGTTACATTTTTGATGAGTTTCGGCTGTAAATGTTCTTATTGGGCCCCCAAGCATTTAACTGTGTTCAGTTTCAAAAATTTTGATCGCACAGTGGTCCGAAGTGGGGAGAAATCGTTGACAAGTCAGGATTCTTTGTCAAATTTTTAAAAATGGAAATATAATTGTCGGTCTACTGCAGTTTTCATGGCTAACAATGTTCTTATCGGTCCTCAATGCATGAAATTGTGTTCAGCTTCACAAATTTACATCGCACAGTGGTCAAAAATGAGGGAATTAGTGGACAAATTAAGATCCTCTGTGAAACTTTTTAAAAATGAAGTGAAACTGTTGGTCCCCAGTA